ACACCGCCATATGTCTTTTGTTACGAAATATTCTCTTTAGAAATATTCAGGTGTTCGAATGGGAAATCCACAACGGGTTGATGAAATAGTGTTCTCTCAAAGTAAACAAGAGGAGGTGGTTTGGAGGAAGCATGTATGTCATGCTCTCAGTTCATACAGAGGTTCGTACATATGGTGGCCAAGGAAGGGAAAGCAAGAGAAGAGTAGTAAGGAAAGTTAGCCGTGGGTAGGCGGGAGTGATTGTAAAAGTCTGAGTGGATGTCATGTCCCAAGCCCTGTGTTTAGTTGACCACGCTACGCATGCTGGGCCATTTCGCTGCATGCCCTATGAACGCTGTCTGTATTGGGCCCTTAGCTCCCTGTTCCCACGTGGCCGCGGCATCATGCCGCACTCGTCGTCTTTGTGCATTGTGCGTTTCTCCTTTTTCTAGCATCCGGTCGGCTCTTGACTCTCACGCCTTGTCCCTCGTACCAGACCCCCCTTCTCTCTCCTTTCTTTCTTCTTTTGGGGACACGACCACCCGCACGCCTCCCTCATCGAGCGCACCCTCTTATCTCCTCTCCTTTATTTCCCACCCGCTCGCTTGTGCAGGGAGCGCACCATGGCCGTGTTTAACCCCACTACATGACCTGTCTGTGTATCCCATTCACGCCGCCTCCACTTCCGGTGTGTTGCGCCCCACCTCCCCACCTCCATTTGTCACTATAAGATGCCCTTGGTCCTTGCTCTTTTTTCTCCATCCCCATTTCCCTTGCATTCGGAGTAGAGCTAAGAGGTCTAGTCGTCATCTGAGGAACTAGGTTCGTCAGTCAGAGGTGATGGTGTAATCTAAGAAGAAGAAGGATCTGGTTTCGTCAAAGAAGTTCAAGTTCCCTTTGGTTAGTTTAATCTTAGGGTTCACGATGTTTGACTTCTCAATCGACTGTTTTTGGATCTGTTGGACCTACGCCATGATTTGGATAATCATCTTCCTACTGTTTCTCCATTGTCCTCGTCTATCTTGACTTCTAGATTAAGTCTCGATTGTATTAGGTTGCTCTAAACCATGTATCCCTAGATCCCTGTGTGGTTTAGTATTCGAAGTCGTGTAATCTTTCGTGTAATCCCTGATCTACGGAATGCAATCGTGTTTCCCCTCTTCTGGTTCTTGCTTCGAATCTCGGGACAAGATTCTTTTTAAGGGGGTTGGTTGTAACACCTCTGGTGTTACGAGTTTGCTTAGCACCGTGATTTAGGCCTAAGAAAATTTTCAAAGCGAGTTCTCAGATTTTTGATTTAAAACATACTTGAAGCGATAAGCGAAACCGGTGTGACTTAGTTTTATAGACTCAAATAAATGCTCAAGTTAAGTTACTCAGTGCGTAAAAATATTTAGGAATATCGAACGACAATTCTAGCCAATGGATAGCGAACGGTTTGTTCTATTAGATTAAGCATGAAAAGCAACGTTTATAAATAAAATAAAATTTATTAATAAATAGAATGATATATATATAGCTTTTAAAGCTAATTTAAATTCGAGCTTTGTTGAAAATCTTCTTGTGCTTGCTAATTGTCTAAATAAGTAAACCGATAGAAATATATATATATATATATATATATATATATATATATATATATATACTCGCGAGTTTATTTTGGGAAGCATGTAACAGACGAGAGATAGACGAGAGATAGCGCAGCAGCTTCATTTGCTTTTCCTAGCGCGGCGTTCAGCGTACTCGCCTTGCTTTGCAATTATGCACCGTCCCGTCTCCCGTCGTGGCTCTGCACCCTGGCGTGTCCGTTTGCCTGCGTCCCGTCTTCTCTCCCTTGCTTGCGTTATGTCTGAATTTTAATGAGAGCACTGGCCCTGTCATGCCCACGCCCCGCTGAGCGCCACCGTTCTACTGCACGTTTCGTCGCATCATCGCTGCGGCACCATCAATGCCTTGCTTGTCTCTGTTTCTCTGATTGCCTATCTCTGCGAGTCTCTTCTTGGACGAGCGCAGTAGGCCACATGCGTTTGCTTCCTCGCGACCTCGCGTGCGTGGGCTTGCCTGGCCTGGCTGCACTGGCTGTTTGCTCATTGCGTCACTTTCGCTCTACCGCTATGTCGTGCACAGAGCCGAGCCGTGGCGTTGTCTAGCCATGCAATCCACCTACCGCGCCCTACTCGCGCTACTTCTTGAGCACGCCGAGGCTAAACCGTTGTCTGCCTTCTCTTCGTTACCTCCGTCCTTTTTCCTCTCCGCTGCCTCTCCCGTGCCCGCAGCGGCCTGTGCCCCGCCGTGGTTGGCCAGCTTTTTCCGACCGTGTCCGGCACGCCATCTCCCCTGCTCCCCGTGTGCGGCTCCGCCTTGCCTCCTCTCCTACGCGTGCAGCACCAAACCCCTTCCTTTTCCCATGCGATCGCGCCGGGCCACAGCCGCCTCACCATCTTCTCCTGCTAGCGCCGTCGTCATTGCCCCCTCCCGCCGTCGTTCTACCTTCCCCTCGCGAGCGCGCCGAGTCATGTGGTCCCGCGCCGCACCTCGTTGCGGACCATGCCACCCCTCCCCGCGCCTTCCCCCGCCGTCGTCCGCCCGGCCCGCCCTGCCGCCGCCGCGGGGCTCTGCCTCCACGGCACCCCCCTAGCCAGATGCGTGCTTTGTCCGTCGGTGCCGAGGAGCCTGCCACGCCAGCCGATTCGTCCGCGCCTACCGTGGCCGGCCATTTTTCTCGGCCGGGTCCGGCACGCCGCCTCCCCTGGCGCGACCGCGGGTGGTTGTCGTGCCGTGCTCCGCCCCGGTCTGCGCCGTGGCTAGGCGGGCTCTATCGTGTCCGCACACCTCCCCGTGCCGCCCCACGATTGCACCACCGCCGGCGAGCCGCCCCTTGGCCGGCAGATGGCTTCCCCACCGCGTGCTCTATTTTGATGAAGGTGAGGACGTAGAAGGGTAACTAGAAACTAGTATAGGGTTCTAGGTGTATAAACGTGACTCACATGAATAGTAGAATATTAAATAGATAGAAGCGTAGGGATGATTTTGCAAAACTGTCATCGCGTTGGGCTTGGCTGCGTGGGCTGCTGTCGCGTGCGCGCCAGGTGGGCCGCCGGCACCGTTGGGCCAGCCTGTCGCCGCCACACCGCGGGCCGGGTTGGTTCTGCTGGGCTGCGGCCTGTCACAGGCTTATTATCCCGAGCACATACTTGGGTATGGGTGTTTGGAAGACTTGTTACTCTCTTGTCATGGGTTTCGGCTCTTTTCGGACCGACTGTCATGGTGGTTTTTGGGTTATGAGGTCCTTGCACCGCACTGAGTCCGGGACTCAGGTGCGGGGGCTTGGAGTCCCAGTTTGGACGGGGACCTGGACCCCGTGACAGGAGGGTAGTGGGTTGGTCTTGCTTGTGTCTTGGGTACAAGTGGGGCATGTGTTTTCGGAGTACCCAGCTGGGGGCATTGATTCATGAATCGCGGGGTGATCTGGTACGGCTTATCTACGGTTTAGCATCGTAATAAGAACTGAAAGCTGAAAGATGGAAAAAGAAAATCTGATTGCTTACCACCTGCTTGAAAGTAGCACAGATGCTTACATAGAATGGTTAGTTAATGAACCAATGCGGCTGTTAATAAAAATCAAATATAAGGATGCATGCTTAGTAATACTTCGTGCAAATGCAATAAACCCATAAGCCAGATAGCTTTGTATATCCTTAGAGTCTTTTATTTTATCCTGTCAGGTAAGTCTTGCTGAGTATAATTGAGTACTCAGGGTTTTATTTCCCCCTGTTGCAGGTGACAGGTGGATGCTAAAGCTGATCTTTGTGTGTGGATTTCTCCTGGTGGGTTCAGAGAGGAATTCCTTTACGCTGCGATCATAGTTTTTATTATAAATCTCACCAAATGTTTTATTAAATAGAAGTTTTATAATATGTTGTCGTAGTTTATATATCAATATTTCATCATGTCATAAATAGATGTTTAATTCCGCTGTAACTCTGTCCACATGTGTATATTCCGCTGTTCAATTAAATTGTTCATAACTCTGATAATATGACTACATTCCGCTATTATAACAATAAATATTATACTCTGATGTTGTATTAAAAGTGATGTAAGAATTGGTTAATAATGTTGTAAGCTTTATTTTCTCATTTGTGATCGTGATGGAAAAATGTGAATTTTTGGGTTCTCTCCTGGGGTGTGCCCGACGAGACTGCGTAATTTAGTGTTCTTCCTTGAGTGCTTAGTGTCTAATGGAAGACAATCGCTCCTGGGAGATATTAGATTAGACGATTCTGCCACAGGGTTAGCCTGTTAGGGTTTGGCTGAACCCACTGTTCATCTTCCCCGCCTGCTTTTCACGAGTTAGGGTTAGGGTTCATGTCTGGATCGATCCGAATCGGGCCCTCTTTCTGTTGCTGTTCTTCCCCTTCTTTCTTTCTCTTACCCCACGCGCCCACGGCAGCTTTGGTGGCTTCCTTCCCTCACGCCGTCGAAGCGGTGGCGCGGTCTTCTTCCCTCGCCACGGCAGTGGTTACCGCAGCGGAGGAGCCCCCCTTGTCTCGTCTCGGGTTAGGGTTTGGATCACTTCTCTCTCGATTTTTTTCTATTTTCTACCTCAAACAAGATCTACACCCTAGAAAACCTGGCTCTGGTAACATTGATACTCATTTCTAAACCTCTAGGTGTACCTTGGTAGCTAGTGCGCCCGCGGCGGCCGGAGATGAAGTACAGTGACAGTGCCCGACGATGAGGCTAGGTGCAGCGTCCCGGTGGTGGCACTGCAGAGGCGACGGTGAAGTCGGTGGGGCTTCCCGTCGCTGGCAGCACCCTACTCTTTAGATCGGATAGGGTTAGAACATCGATGGGACGTCTGGCGGCTCAGGAGAACTTCATACCGTGTGCCCTGATCCCCACCTCCCTTTTATGGTACTGTGCGACGGAGGCCCACCAACAATAGAAACGGTTGAGCATCCCTGATCAGGGCACGGATCAAGGACCAATTGACCGGGTGGAGATCAAACTAACATGCCCTACACGTCCATTCCTTCGACGGCCTCCGTCACGGCGACGAAGTCGTCCATCTCCTTCTGCGCGGTGTCGTCGGGCGCCACTGCCGCCGGCAAGTTGCTAGCCTTGTACTGGTGGTGCCTGGCGAAGACGATGAAGACGGCGAAGTTGGCGACCCCGAGCACGGCGAGCATCCAGTAGAAGAGGTCGAGCCTGCCGCGGTCGAGGTTGTTCCGGATCCACGCGCCGCTGGTGGCGGCGTCGACGGCGAAGACGAGGAAGCTGCTGAGGAAGAAGCCCATGGAGAGCGTGACGAGGAACAGGCCCGTGCTCATGGACTTCATCCGCTCGGGCGCCTCGCGGATGAAGAACTCGAGCTGGCCCACGTACGCGAACGCCTCGCCGGCCCCGACGAGGAAGAACTGCGGGACGAGCCAGAAGGCGCTGATGGCGGCGTGCCCGGGTCCGTTGGACGCGTCGCGGCGCTTCTTCTCGACGAGCGCCGAGACGGCCATGGCGGCGACGGAGAGCGCGAGCCCCGTCCCGACCCGCTGCAGCGAGGTGAGCCCCTGCGGGCGGCCCGTGAGGCGCGCGGCGAGCGGCACGAGGAGGCGCTCGTTGAGCGAGGTGAAGAGCAGGATGGAGATGAAGAGGAACACGGAGAGGGAGCCCGCCGGGACGGCGAAGCCGCCGGAGCTGGCGCCGGAGCCCGGGCGGAGGCGGCGGTCCATGCGCGTGGCCTGCTCCACCGAGAAGGTGGTCATCTGGGAGTAGACCGTCCAGAAGAGGATGCACGTGGACCAGATGGGCAGCAGCTTCACCACCATCTTCACCTCCTCCACCTCCGTCACCGTCGACGCCGCCGCCGCCGCGCTCGCCTGCTGCTGCTTCCCCGCCGGCACGGACAGGTCCGCCTCCACGATCGCCGCCTTGTCAAGGCACCTGCATGATGCATTCACGGCAAGTGAGAAAAATCGATCAGCGAAATGAAGCGCGAGTGATACTACACACACGTACACGTACTCTACTACGGTACAGTACTGTACAGGATAGCTACTCCTAGGTACAGATGTTTGGCCGGTGCACCGATCCGACTACTCGGACTCAGACTGTCTGCAATAACGTAACCCAAACTCAAAATGCGTCATATACAGTATTTAGCGTAGCAATAAACACGGTCCAACAGATCACCCAAAAGGATGACCCATTTTGCATCCCATCCGAGGCGAAATGCAAGTAAGCGTCTTCGACGGAGACGACGCAAATCTCTGACGCCCGAAGTGGTGGGCCCGTGGCGAGGCGCGGCCGGCTCGGCGAGGCGAGCCCGCGGCGGGGAGCCGCCGGCGCTTCTAGACGGGTCCACGGCGGGGCGCGGCCGGCAGGGCAAGGCAGGCAGCGGGACGAGGCGGGTCCGCGGCGGGCGCGGCCAGGCGGGACTGTGGCGGGGAGCCGCCAGAGCGGAGAGGAGCGGCCACGGCGGGGAGCAGCCGGCGTAGCAAGGCGGGTTCGCGGAGGAGCGCGGCTGGCGGACCGCGCCGAGGAGCCGCCGACGCTCCGAGCAGGCGGCCGCGCGGGCCAAATCCAGCTCCCAGTGCTCCGGTCGTCGTCGGGGCCACGCGTGCCGTTGTCCTCAGGCCGCTGTCGGGACCGCGTGGGGTCGTCCTCGGGGACGCCGCCGAGGGCCTGGTGGTGGTTGACGAGGTGGAAGAAGCCCAAGTGGCGGGCGGCGGCGGTGAGGGGCGCGGGGAGGGAGAGGTCGACGACGGGGATTGAGACGCCCGGCGGCGCGAGGGGCGCGGAGGCGTAGGGGTCCAGATGGACGAAGAGCGCGGGGACGGAGGAGATGCCGGAGGAGAGGGGGATGCTATGGCTGGCGGATTGCTCGAGAGTCGAGACACTCGGTCGGTGCTGCGTGGAAGGAGATGGAGCCGGTGAGATTTTTGCGTAGGCTATTGGAGAAGACATGGTTTAGGGGAGGGACTCTTTTATTGTACGTGACCTAAATCATAAAATGGGTATCTGGTTTGGGTGTGTTGTTGGAGATAGTCTCGTGAGCTACGTACTGCTGCTCGGTCTCATTGATTGCAGCCAGGACGCCGTGTCCGTGTCCGTGTCCGTGTCCGTGTCCGTGTGTGCGTGACTCATCACACGCCCGTGCTGTCACCACGGGCTGACTCAGCAGAGAGAGAGAGGCCGGCACATCGACCAGTTTTCGGCCGGAACAGTGTACGGGCTCTCGCGGCACGTCTACCTGTCTAGATTCTTTTGCTCTTTTGCGTGTTGTGTTACCAACTGGCGATGAAGGGTACCCTCTCGGCTCTCGGTTACCCGTTTCGGCTTCTCCGTCTCGTCTGTGTCTATGAATATGAGTCCAGTATCAAATCTGCAAACGACTGATGTTTCGAGTTCTATTTTTACAAATCGCCCACCGACGAAAAAATTACAAAAATGACACTTGAAATAATAACTCCTTAATTACGATAACACTCGGATGGATGATAAGCGAGTCCATCAATGTCTATGAATATGGGTACAATATCAAATCTACAAACGACCAGTGTTTCGAGTACCATTTTTGCAAATCGTCCCAAGTGGCATGTGATCGTACTAACAATAGACCTGCCCAACTCGCTCCGTCATGCTCATGCCTGCTACACTTCCTCACCGTGGGAGGAGTTTCATGTGGCTGGCCAGCTGGGGCTTACCCTTGAGCCTAACAACAACATACATGTGTGATGCATACTCCTATCTCGCTTGCTCTGCTAGCTGCTAAGACAGAGACATCGTCGCGGAACGAACGCGACGGCAAATTAAAGGCGACCGAAAGGGATGTAAGTAACTGCGTTTGCGTTACCTGAGCCTGTCCGTGTGGGCGACCTTGGCGGCGGCGAACCCGTGGAGCTCGGCGGCGTCGGCGGGGAGCGGCAACCGCCGCTTCCTCCACGCCGTGGCGAGCACCCGCCCGATGACCGTGAGCGGGCTGCCCTGCGGGCGGCGGTACCGGTACCTGGGCGTCCCCGCCACGAACACCGCGACGCCGAGCAGCATGGCGACGGCGGAGACGCCGTACCCCCACCCCCGGCCCACGTTGTCCTGCACGTACACCAGCACGGTGACTGCGAACAGGGAGCCCAGGCTGATGCAGAAGTAGAAGCGGTTGAAGAAGAACACCATGGCGCGCTCCTCCCGCGGGTCACGCGCGTCGAACTGGTCCGACCCGAACCCGGACACGTTCGCCTTGAGACCGCCGGCGCCCGCCGCGATCGTGTACAGCGCCGCGTACAGCAGCGCCAGCTGCCCGCCGCGCGCGGGCACGCACTCGTGGTGCGCCCGCGGGCCGCGGGCGTTCGCGCACGCCGGCGGGCGCATGCTCGGCAAAGTCGTGTCCACCGTCAGCAGGCTCACGCCCTGCCGTCAATTGTCATCAACATGTCATTGTTAGAATAGTCGTCGTGCAATGCGACACCTGCAGGCCAACATGTACATGTCACGTACGGTGGCGGCGATGGTGGCGCAGATGGCGATGGTGAGGTAGCGGCCGAGCTTGGCGTCGGCGAGGAAGCCGCCGACGAGGGCGAGCAGGTTGAGCGTGCCCATGAAGTTGGTCACCACGTTGGCGGACTTGGAGTTGGACAGGTGCAGCTCGCCCACCAGGTACGTCACCAGGTTCATGGAGATGCCCATCACGCACACGCGCTCCGCCAGCTCCGTGCCCAGGATCAGCCCGGCGCCCACCCAGCCTCCGGTCCTCGACTTGTCCACCGGGTTGCCCCGAAAGTCCACGGCCTCCTGGCCGCCGTCGTACCCACCACCATGACCCCCGGCGGAAACCTACACACAAACGTTCATCAGAGAGCTGAGCAATAACAACGTCCTTGAATCGAAACTAACTAATCATGACGACGAGAGGGTGCGGCTGTTACCATTGCTGTGCTGCTTCTGTAGCTGCAGCTAGCCGTGCCTAGTGCAGGGCTGCAGGCAAAAGGGGACTAGGGAGCGAGGACGACGAAGAGGAAGGAGAGGAACGTGTGTGCTGTGAGCTTGTCGAAGAGGATGAGGCCGGGCGAGGATTTATAGGGCGCGCGGCGCGGGCACACATGACATGATGAACCAGCCAGCATCAAGGAAGAAGGGGCGTGGCTGCACCTGCCACTGCTGCTCGGGATTCTCCTCTTGTTACCACTTTTTTCCCACTGCAAATTACATCACATTTACTTGCTGGATTTGGGTAGCGTAGGTGAGGTGGCCAAACTCCAAAGTGAGGATGACGACTGGCGGAGACGGGAGAGACTGTGCTGCTGCCCTCAGCCCCCGGGAAGCGGGAACGGACGGACAAGTAGCGCGAGGATGACCTGGCGGGTTCCGTGGTGGGTGGATGCTGGCCCTGCCAAAAATCTCCGGTACGTGGTGAAGGGGAATTTCCATTTCCCACCAAAGATTGCAGCTGCAGTGGCAGATCCTCTGCGCAGTGCTCGTCTTTGGGGAAGGGGGTGGGTGGCCTGGTTTTAGCCAAGCCACTGTATGCTTCAATGCTTGTCAGCCACATAATCCCCTCCCGTAACGTCTAGATCTAGCCCCATGTTACATGATTAGTATCTGCATCTCGACAAAAGCATCTTTGGATCTACGTTGGCTGAGTGAGTGCTTCTGAAGTGGTGCACAGGTCATGTGTCGCGCATATGTCACTACAAAGCAGTAAAACCAGATTTAGTCAGTTGATTTTGCCTATCGATTTATCGAAACGATGAGATATGACGCCTCATCTTTATCCTTTGCTGTTGTGCTAATGAGGGTCTCACCATCAACGCAGGACATGGCACAAAAGCTAGTACAAGATGATAAGCTGGATCGGGGAGGGCATTGTATCGTAGATTGTAGATTAGCTGATGTATCTTGAATGGGAACATATCTAGGCAAATCAACCTCTTCGTGCAAACCGTGCAAACCAACTGCGGGGGAGAGGTGGGAGGGGGATTTGCAAAAGTGTAATTACGCTCCTAATTACACTTTTGCAAATCCCCCCTCCCACCTCTCCCCCGCAGTTGGTTTGCACGGTTTGCACAGAGAAGTTGGTTTGCACTTGATACATTGCCATCTTGAATCCCCATAACGATGGATGGATGTGTCTAAGCTTTGATGCTGTTGTTTCCGAAAGGAGACATGTTTCTGTTCTCATTCTCACCCCTTGCGCACCTCCACACCGTACGTCGGCATCACACTTGCCCACACGCGCATTACGGCGCACAAGATTCCGATGATTAGGAGGACAAGTGCGAGGCGCCGCTCGCTCGCTGGCTCGCGCGCTGTGCCTGTGCTCACGTGGGCCAAGGGCGACAGCGACGGCGCACGCCGCGGCCACCGCGCGCGCGGGCCGCCCGTCGCCGACGCGTCCGTGTGCCGCCACGCAACCCGCCGCCGGCCGGCCTCCCACTCGTGAAAGGCGGGGACGGCGGCGCAGCCGCCCAGCCCGGCCGGGCGCGTCCGAAACTGCCGCCGTCGGCGAGGACGTGTCATTTCCCCGTTCGTTGGGTGGAGCCCGTTGCGTTGCCCTCCGCGACGTGGACGGCTCCGTCCGGCGAGCAAGAACTCTTCTTTCCCGAGGAGGGGGAATTTGGATGGAAGAGCCCGGTGGGGCGCTGCCTACTAGGACGCGCGTGCGCGTGGCCCCGCCCCTGGGATTTCGTCGCTGACGTGGCCAGCGACGGGCGGGACAACGGGAGCCGTCAGCCCAGCACGTCCCAAATTTGCGTGGTGGAGTAGAGTAGCAGCCTCTGCCTCCTTCATGGCGACGTGTTGCTGCATGGCTGCAAATCACTGCGCCTTTATTTTATCTTTGGCCTTTTTCCGTGATCGAGGATAATTGTCTCTAGTAGAAAGGAACAACAAAGGTATCGTCGACAACACGAAAAATTCGTGGTATGGCACTCTCATTGGACGTGATGTTTATGTGAACACTACATGGTGGTTGTGAGTTTCAAAACCTTGGTCCCTTGGATCACCTACAGATTGTTTTGGAGCCTCTACTTTAGTTCTGATATATGCTACAAAAAGGATGAATCTAAGAAATTATTACGAAAAAACAAAAACTCGTGTCCATCAATTTTAGTCTTAAATCATCATGGATATAAGGACCTCTCAGTTGTCCTATGTCAAACCCTTTTAGGTTTGATAAAATTTATAGAGAAGAGTAATATAATAAGATCACTGTATAAAAAAAACGCAACATCAAAATATAGTTGAAAACAGTTGGTCTAATAATGTTTGTGTAAGGTCGTACACATTATTGTTCTCTTTCTATAGTATAATCTTACCTAGCATACATGTTCGTGCATTGCGACAAAAATGTACAACTTGTTGTGTTATCTGTTCCAATGTGTCTTGAAATCGGACTCTGTTCTATAACTGAACGCATGCTATTCTAACTCCTATAAGTTTGAGCTGTGAGTTTGACTCATGGACTAGACAATTAACAAATTATAACTTTTACGTCAAATTCATCGCATGCTACTGCTCTTAATAAAATTAGACATGACTCTTATGCTCGATGGCCTGAAGGAATCATGACTCTTATGCTCGATGGCCTGAAGGAATAGACGGACTCGCGAGAGAGTGAAGGACGAACAGTCATCCTTAATAAAATCAGCTCCACCAGATCCTTTCTCAATCCTTTTTCCCTACATTTTTCTCAATCCCGCAAAAACTCCCCTCGGTCACTCGAATGGAGAGGTCTGCCATCTTTTTTTCTCAATCCCCTTTCCCCCCCCCCCTCATCCTGTCACTGATGCGTGGGTCCTTATCCATGGGTTGTTTGTGTGTGTGTGGGGGGGAGGGAGCGATAGGATGAGGTGGGGACTTAAGAACAAAGGCAAAGGAGCACGCTTGGAGGTGATAGCAGTAGGCGTAAGGGCATCACCTCCTCCTTCAATCCTTTCTTTCTTTACTCCATTTTTTCTCTAAAAAAATTCCAACTTTTTTTACTATAAAGATACATGATTTTTTTTTTAAAAACGTTGGTAAACTTTTTTTAGAAATATTTTAAAAATTTGTGCAAAAAGGGCAAACCTCTCTGCAAAAGAAGTTAGGGCCTTAGGGGACTGTGTTCCCAGGAGGCATGGTTGGGAGGAAAATTAGGAAGTTCTAGAAAGAAAAAAATGTGTCTATAAAATTTTTGAGTGAAGGTACGGTGTATCTTTAGGGGCATTAAGTCCCCTTGTAACCTCGTACTCGTTAGCGGGGACTCTTATGAGTGCTACAAGTGAACTCATAAAAACCTTAGCATATTGCTATCCGTTCATTGACATGACCTAAATCGGCAGTGGCGGAGCGTGGGGACTAAATAAACGGGGGCCAAGTTGTTCAATGAGATCATAGGTGAAATGCATCATGTTGTGCACCAATTATTAAGTGCAAATTATGAAGCATAGCAAATTGCATTTTCTCTTTATTTTCCATCAGCTGAACCTGTTTTAACATCGAATGCCAGGAATTTTTCTATAGAGTATAGAAGCTACCTAGAGTAACAAAGAGAGAATATAACACTATTAGCAGAGGCAAGGAAGGCCGTGACCTAGTTTGGCCTCCATGAGGCTCAATGAAAATCTGGTATTCTATTAGCCATATTCTGATGAAGTTTCTTGCAAATGAGAAAACATTAGGCCTCTAATGATTCCAATCCTAGATTCATTTCTTGATATTAAAACACTATGTTACCACCTCATACTTTTTGTGGAAAATTTGGGAAAGGTTTGTACAATGCATGGATCACGGATTTTTGCTTCAATGTTAAGTGGAAGGCATTCAGAAACTAGTATTCCCTCCGTCCACAAAAGAATGCAATTATAGGATCCGTACCAGCCAAACTAGTTTAATTTTGACCAAGTTTACAGTAAATAGTATTAGCATTTGTCTTAAAATGAAATTTTATTATAAAAAGTCATGACACATAGAATGATTACGCTGTTGCAGAACCTTAACCCACAATATATTTTTTCATGCCAATGTCCAATTACCGGGGCTAAAACTGTCTATTTTCATGTTGGAATGGCTGCGTTGTAATGGCCTTAGACCGTGTTCACTATAATCTTAATTTTTTTCACAACAGGCTACTATTTGGTTTATTGCTTCGTATAGCTTTGAGCCCCTCCGCATTACAACCCTCAAGCCTTTTGTCTCAATACTAGGACGATGAGGAGGTACAGCTGCCTCTATGGAACTGAGAAGAGCAGGTACATCTTCCCCTATGGAACTGAGAAGAACTTGACGATCTTGATCTCTGTCCGTTGAGATCAAGTTGTAAGTAAACACAATAATAGAAGTGCTAAAAAAGGCTTTCGTTTTTTTCTCAACACTTATCCATCTGCAACTGGAACCTGCCTTGAATGAAACATTTGATTCACTTGAACAAATGGATCCAATGAGCTCAAGTTACTCTTGCTAAGCCGCAAGGCCCAAACTGCCAAAGGTGATACTCCATGCGAATGGGTACTTTCCACTGTAGCTGTTGCGGGTAGAATTATCCCAGTAGTTCCGTTTCACAAAGAAACAGTGTATGTTCTTGCTTACACCGCCTCTAGTAATATAGGGCATGGAGTAGCGTACAGAGCCACCCAAGCAGGATACAAGTATCAGATAGAGAATCCTATAATACATTAACAGTAATGAAATGATGTTGGCAACAAAGACAAACTACAAAGGATATACAGCGAGAATGGAGTCCAAAAAACAGAAAAACTTAAGGGGGAAAGGAGATTAAGTGATAGAGAATGATTTAAAATTTAAATACATCTGTGCAGGGAGCAATTCTTTCCCTTTTGAATTCTAATGACTCGATAAATAACACAACTACACAGCGATAACTAAAAACTTGTCACCTACTTAAAACACTAACTTCAATGTCATCATCAACTAAATAACAGTTGAACTTACTGCTTAATCTATACACTCTGCTACAGTAACAACCATCGAGTTGAGCTGCTTCATTAATACCTCTGCTGTCGCCACCGGAACTCTCCTACGCATCCAGGGAAGAAATCAAATGGATTTGGAATATTACAAAATTTCACTTATCAGGAGTCTCCTAAATATTAGGTCACCAAACCAGTCCTTTCTTCCGCTTTATGTATCAAAACTCTAATCACATATGCTCTGACAACAAAATGAGCTGCAAAACAATAGAAATGGTTAATACTGATATGTGACTGCATGATAGATGTTCACTATTAAGTGCGTACATAGCACTAATGTAAAGAAATGGCAAAATCGCATACCTGTTCGGCAACCTGAACTAGTTGACTGTCACCTTGTGGAGAATCTATCAAATGATCCTGTTCCACATGATCTGGATGAAGCTTTTGCTTGTTAGTTGGACTACACAGGTCACTGCTCTCCTCAGGGACAGCACGCTGAGGGGTGCTGTCAATAGGCATACCCTTGCGCTTTCTGCGATTGAATGTGTATTTGATATGTCTGGCACCTTCAGCTTGCATGGAAGCTCCAGAAGATGCCTTTGTATGTTCTTTTTTGTTCAGTGAGCTGCCAACTGAAATATCATGTTTCTCTAAAGCTTGCACGGGAAGTCCAGAAGACGCCTTCAAATTTTCTTTATCTACGGAGCTAAGAGTCGGAGAATCAGCCTTACGTGAAGCCAAACTGCACCTTACATCCTCATTAACTTCTTTCAAGCTTGCAGTATTATTGTTTGGTGTTATCAGCTCCTGCTGGTCCACCACCAAGTTACCTGCATCATGTTAAGAATGTTTTGATTCAAACCACATTAAAAATTGACCAATTTTACATGAAAGGATAGAACATGCAAACAAAAAAAGCTTTCTGGACGTACCATAATCTGTAGTTTCACTTTTGGTCGACTGAAGGAACACTGAAGAGGTGATTTCAGGATCAAATTGACCATTACCAGCATCAGTCTGATGCATCAAGTTTCCAGTAGCACATTTCAAGAAAGGGCCGCTGTTTCTGGTGGGGGTATCAGAGCGATTCTCAGTCATCTCAGAGACCAATTGATTACCAGACATCCTTTTCTCACTGGTCCTAAGCTGGGTGTTAGCTGGCTCAGGAACACTTTTGGTTTCAGAAAAATCATCTTCCAAAACCCTGACAGTCTTTGTTCTTTTTCTTCTTTTCATTTGCACGCTGTTGACTGCAAGTACATCAATCAGTTCCGGGAAAGCAGTACAGCGGCTTAACTCAGCATCCCTCCTATTCATTTTCAAGTCTTCCTTCAGGTCAGTAAAGGCCTCCCCATCATGTTCAGCAGACATCTTTGGAGGTGAAAGATCCTCTTCAAGTGCCTGAAGTAGAAGCAAGCAGCCATTTCCATCAGATTCAGATCTATCAGAGAACTTATATTCCGCTTCCCCGTGCTCACTGGAATTATCATGCTTATAACTAGGCCTGCTTCTTCTGCCCCTCTCGCGCTTGAACTTACCCAGAAATTTCGTTTGAAGTATCTGTTCCATGATGGACCTTGTGTGGCATGGGTTTTTAGCAGCATTGTTCTTTCTGGCTTTTGAGCGGCTATTTAATGCAGTGGCCTGCTTCTGATTTTGCTTCAGGAATGCATCTGTACTTTGAGTCTGCTGTTTAAGTGCATGAATACGCTGTGTACACCCATTATGATAGAACTTTGGTTTCTTATTTCTTTCCATCAATGATGGCAGATCAGGGCTGCGACGATCCATGTCCTCCAAGTTTTCCACTGCTTCATTCTCCTTCTCGGTTATCGGAACAAGGCAAGTGTCATCACTGTTGTCTGCAGCCTTTTTATTCTTCAAAGATACTCCTTGTTGATGCATCTTAGAACGAGGGCTGGTGTTTTTATTAGAATAAGCGTTATTGGATATGGGAAGGCTATTTATTCTTTCATCAGCTAAAGTTTTCCTTGTCAGATCTAATTCAGTATTTGCCCTCTGTAGCTCAACCTTAAGCGAGGCCAAAGCATTTTGTGAACCATGCAATTGCTCTTCCAGTTCCTTGATCTTCTTAACATGCACCGAAGCTTCCAGTTCTTTCTCTTTTATCTGCAGAAGACACACTAACAAGTTTCAGGAACGCATTCATTACAAACAAGACAACATATAGATGAAGTTCAAAAGTAAATAACTAGACAGCTGCTGTTACACATATGGGCAATTTTTTAAAAGAAAAATAAATCAGAACAAAAAGTGAATCGCATTGACTGACCACTGGCTCAATTCATTCCATACAATCTGTTGGTGTCATAAAAAAAGAAACAAAAAACTCAAACATGGAGCCCTTGCATAACTGGCTGACCCAACTCTAGGGCAATGGAGTAAGGAAGCCAGTCATCCTACTCAAGGCCCCACACTAGGAGGGGATAAATCCCATGAATCCTTATCGAACATTTAAGGAAAAAAATATTAGTGAATAATTATACTATGACACGATTGGAACATGTAACGTACACACAGCCAAAAAAAATAATCACTATTGTCTCGAAAATCATATGATATGCAACACAGGAACTGGCCTAACTCGGTGTACCCACGTCCGAGTCCTCTTTGACTTGAATTTATTTCTTCTTATTTACAATGCCACTTAGTCCCTCCTAGGTTGGTTGAGTTTTCTTTATACATGCGACAGAATAGGCTGTGTTGAGGAGTTTGTAGATAGAGTCTTTTACTATCGTATTCCAAAAAACAAAAGAGCACTGACCACAGGGAGACACGTACCCCTGGCGCTGCTCCTAAGGTAGGGCGATACCGAAGGTATACACTAGTAAGAACTAAGAAATCTCAGGGAGGTACCCAAATTTGGATGTGCCCGGGTTGAGTGGTTTGAGCCTGGATGGATGGTGGATGGCTATTTAGCGCAGTCTACCAAGTGATCTATTGCTAGCTTCTTCTATTCGTATTCTGAAAAAAATTGTAGTAAACGACCTTTTGTACCTCATTCTAGACTTGTAAAATGTCTGGGTAGCTCCTTGTACAAGTCTACAAGATGATAACACTAAACCAGCCATGGATAACGGATTTGAAGATTAGGTTGGTTGAAAGCTACAGTTGCAGAGCTGTTCTCTTTTTGACAATCAAATATGCATTAGCATATTATATAATTAAAAAATACGCTTCTTAATTGATCATCCATGCTTTTAGCAGATCCAGCTATTCCTTTTCCACCTCATTTCAAAGAAAAACCGGCCAGATCATAATATTACCATATGACATGGGGAAAAAATTAACAAATTTAGCATAGGTAAGCACCATAGAAGGAGGCTAAATCAAAACATGGCACCAATGACACATCATATTATTTCTACAACGTCCTTAGAAAATAGTAGGTGGATATGAGTAATGACTTTACATTGCAAAAGACCTTATATATAAAAAAGGGCGTACCCAGTGCAGAGAGCTTCCGATCTGTGCGGGTCTAGGGAAGTGTGTCGGTGTAAAGCCTTACCTCGCTTTGTGCAATGCGAGGAGACCATGATTCGAACCCGGGACGTTCTGGTCACAGGCGGTAAGACTCTACCGCTTGCACCAGGCCCGCCCTTCGCAAAAGACCTTATATATCAAATCTCAAAATTGCTAATAACTCTAGTTCAGAACATAACATACAATGAATCTGTGACTGGGACAACTAGTTCACTACAGTAACCTAATGTGGAGAGGCATCACTATCTGGATTGTAACAATCCATATGACAATTTGGCCATTACACAAAGTGAATGTATTGTTTCCATGAACCTTCACAATCAAAACTGCACCAAGTCTCTGAATGTAGCATGAAACAGCAGTGGACCCTTTCTGTAGTGGACCTGGCCATAACATTTGACAATTCCAATCCTATGCATTACATGGAAATGAAGTCGACACTGAAGTTCCAAAAATAGTCTGCTAAAATATCAAGAATCACTCTAAAATGGTCAGAGAAATATGAAATGATCATAACGATTGGTGTAAATTTAACAATAAGACCAGGGGGAACTACTGCACTGTACAATCTGCCAGAAACCAAAAACAATAGTGTGGCATGGAAATCAACCCAAAAGATAATATATTCAAGCAACAATTTTCTACAGGACAGTTGCCCCTATGCCCCAACTCTAGGTTCCAATCAAGGAGACACCAAAGGTTGCAATTATATTTTATTTGATTCAGCATTACCCTCAAACAAGCATAAACCCATTTTTTTACTGGCAGTATTGCCAAAATCACCAGTACTGGCTAGATGTGCTATATAAGGCATACAGCATTAGACAGAAATAGCACATTCCTAACACAGGGAAAAACATCCAGACAGGTGGAAAGAAAAAAAAAGTGTATTGTCAACACAAATGCAACAAATCAGTGAAAACACGGTAGCAAGGGCACATAAAAAAAAGGGCGTACCCAGTGCAGAGAGCTCCCGCTTTGTGCGGGGTCTGGGGAAGGGTGTCAGTGGCAAGCCTTACCCTCGCCTGTGCAATGCGAGGAGACCGCGACTCGAACCCGGGACCTTCCGGTCACAGGCGGTAAGAGACTACCGCTTGCACCAGGCCCGCCCTTCCAAGGGCACATCAAAAGCCTATAATAATTAAAAACCAGTGCGTCCCAATCAGTTTAATGGTTTCAGGCTTCCAGCAACCACAGCAGCAGTGCAGCACCCTCCTCTGCGTTATCAGAATAAAAGAATAATCTGAATATCCCTTCAGATGCTTGAGGACTCCAACAACATCAACAGATTGTGCAGCATGCCCCTGCAAACTTAGAAGCACTCAAGCACAGATGCTAACACTGTAAGACAACGCACATACAGCTGGGCATTTTACACATGTTAGTATGTTAGACCCTGAATACTGGTCTACTGCACAGCCATAGTCGTGGCAAATCTGTAGTGCTACTGCGTGAAGAGTAACTAACAATCCCAAAGCATGATATATTGTTTTTTTCAAACATATTCTGTGATTCCAAGTCTAATAACCATTCTCCCCGCCACGCACAAAAGAATGTATTACTTATTCTGGATTCTATGAATCAACCGAGGGCGTAGATACAAAGCTATCTAAGTTCTAACAATACCACTGCAAAAACAACAATGCACGATTGCAAAATCCTGAGGACGAAATCTATCATTCGTACGAGCTCTAAATCCCAACATCGCAATAAGAAATTTGAACTGCACCACCAACATCCCGATAGCAGAACCAAGAAGCACAGAATCCAGAAGACGAAATCCCCATCCTACGAGCTCCAAACCCAGGTGTTACGAACGCCGAATTTGAACTGGACCACCAACACCCCGATAGCAGAAAACAGGAACACAAAATCGAGAGGACGAAATCCCTATCCTACAAGCTCCACATCCCAGTCATCCGAATGCGAAATTTGAACTGGACCTTAACCACCATCATCCCTAAAACAGGAACCAGCACCACGAAACCAAGAAGACGAAATCCCTATCCTACGAGCTCCAAATCCCAATCACCCGAATTCCAAATTTGAAATGGGCCTTCACCACCATCATCCCTAAAACAGAAACCAGGGCCACGAAACCGAGAAGACGAAATCCCTATCCAACGAGCTCCAAATCCCAGTCACCCGAATTCCAAATTTGAAATGGGCCTTCACCACCAACATCCGGCGAACAGAAACAAGAATTCCGAACTCCGCCCGATACAATCAATCCCAAAACCTCCCCTAAAACGCAGAGCCTCGCATCCTCCAATCCAAACTTCTCGCATCGTACGCACACCAGCTAAATCCAAAAAAACACCGAAAAAACACCCAACCAAAGCGAGCGGTTCGAGCAGAGAGAGGGAGGGACAGGCATACCCTGGCTTCCATGATGGCCTTGAGCCGCAGGAGCGCGGCGACGCCGTTCTCCTTTGCGGCCTCGAGCCCGGCCGCGAGCGCCGCCGCTCGCCGCTCCGCCGCCAGAACCCGCGCCGCCGACTCCTGCGCCATGTTGAGCATGATCCCGGCGTACGCCTTCTTCATCGCCTCCACCTGCACGAGAAAAGCCCCGATCAGCTCGAACAGCGTCCGGCCGCGGCGGCGGCGGGTACAGGGAGAGGAATTTCACCTGGGAGTCCGCCATTTTGGAGCGGGAAAGTGATTGGGGGAGGACAGGAGGGGAGAAGGGGGAGTTGGTTGTTGCTGGTGCTAGGGGGCTGTGGCGGTTGCAATAGAGGTGTGGGAAAACGGAAAGTCGGAGAGGGAGGTGGGCGCGGCGCGGCAGCCACTGCTGCGCTCGCCCGCCCGCCCTCGCCTTTCACTGGCTGCTTGCGTCCGTTGGAGTGGAGGGGGCCTGTTTCCAATTTTTTTGGGGCGGAAGCGGAAGGTGGAAGCCCAGCTACCCTAGTGTTCCAGTCATGGTGGAGAGAACCTTGTGGTTTGCGGAAATTGCGCAAAGGGGAGGTGTGTCGTGTGGAGCGGGCGCACATAGGAAATGTGCCGGTTTTGGCAGCCTGGTTTGGAGTCCTCGTAACTGAAACGATATGCATTTTGTGCAATTCTAGACCTATTTAGCGAGGCTTCTCGAGGGATTTCAGCTTTGATTTTTTTTTTCACAAAGTTCTACTAAACACTAGTTCTACTAAACACTAAGGCCCTGTTTAGTTCTCCCCGGAATGCAGAATCTAGAATCTAGAATCCATAATCAAAATCCCCCTCAAAACTCAAAATGCAAAATAGTTTAGTAGGATGTTTACTTCCACCCAAAATCCAGAATAGGAACTTAACTAATGACAGATTTGCCCTCATTAATACATGCAGATTGCATGCATGCATGCCGCTCCCTTCCAGGCAATTGACGCCCAGGCAATTGACCACAATCCATTCTTCATAGTTCACAGACCACACAATTTGTTCATATAAACAGCTCATAGAAATCAACAGTTCATACAATTTGTTCACATACCATACAATTGTTCATACAGACCATACAATTTGTCCAACCAAACTTCACAAGTTCATACAAACAGTTCACAAACCATACAATTTGTTCAACAGTTCACAAATATTCGACCAGACAAACCATGTTGAAGTATCTAACACAACCTCAAATACAAACACAGTTCAAACATGTTCATTAGTCCTCGACTAACTTATGAACAACGATTAAATAGACCAAGAGCAATCGATTCACGAAAAGCATTCATCTCTTCGGCGTCCTCCCTTGACGGTGCTGGAGTAGTTCATGGCTGATTGGCAGACGCTTTTGGTGGAACGTAATTCTCATCACGATCACAAAGTGCAAAGTCCCTATCCACTAATCCACTAGCTCTAATGAAGTTATGCAATGCCATACAAGCCACTATTATTTTAGTTTGCACATGTGGAGGATAAGCAGGGATGCCTAACAGAATCCTCCATTTCATCTTGAGTACCCCAAAAGCCCTCTCTATCACATTCTTAAGCGATGAATGTGTGAAGTTGAATATTTCATTTTTACCTTCTGGCTCCGGGCCGTCACGGTACTCTGGAAGATGATATTTCGTTCCCTTGTACGGTGCAAGATAACCCGAACGGTTTGGGTAGCCGGAGTCCACTAGGTAAAATTTGTCTGCACAATGATGAACTGTTGTTAGCTTCCATTAACTCAAATGGAAATGCCTCAAGTAGAAAGGTGTTTACCTGATGGTGGATGTGGAAACTTATGGCTCCACTTATCCATAACATCATTGAATACTCTCATATCATGTACAGATCCCGGCCATCCAGCAAGCACAAATGTAAATCTCATGTCAAAGTCACAGCAAGCCATGACATTCTGTGTTGTAATGTTCTTGCGGCACATGTGTTGGACCGTCAAATCTTTGTCAACAATGACTGGTACATGAGTGCCATCTATTGCTCCAATACAATTGTCAAAGAAGGGAGAGAATCTAGGATTCTGTAATCTATGATGGGTTTGACTGAAACTTGGGTCCCTTGGTGTGATGATGTGTGCAACTAGCTTGCAAAGACAATTCAACACTTTCATGAAGTTATTATGGACTGTCCCTAGTGACCTCTCAAATCTATCCTCATCCTGCCTAACTGACTGTGGTGCTCCAACCATCCACAAGAACATTCCTAATGCTTCAATAGAGGAACATTTATTAGTGGATTTCAGGCCATAAGACTCTAGCTTTTCATGGAGTCTGTAGAACAAAGTTGGGGTCATTCTAAACATTTTATAGCAGCTCTCCCTGTTTGTTAGCTTCCTCTCTACCCACTTTATCCCCGGAACAAGTGGCACTCTATACTCTGATCTAGATAGGTATTTGTCAGTGTGCAGAGCAAAAAGCAACATACCACTAGTGAAATGAGAATCCTCATCATCCACAAGCATACTTGTTACTTCCTCATTACTAGAATCAGAGGAACTGCTGGATCTGGTTGAGCTGCTGTAACTGCCAGAGCTGGTTGAGCTGCATGAACTGCCCCCCTCCATTGTTGCCTGAAGTACCTGACAAATTGCAAACAGGAAATAGTGAGTATTGAAACAATGCAACTAAAATTAATAGGCTTAATGATCCATCCAAATGCATCATAATTAATAAAAGGCCAGAGCTGATTGTAAGCATTTAACTTGGTTCACATAACATAATTAATAAAAGTAGCACACATCATAACTTGGTTCACATTACACACATCACATGGTTCACATCACACACATCACTTGGGAACATCACACACATCACATCACTTAGGTCTGGTTACACTAACATAACTTAGTTCACATGACAGACAATGACCAATTAACACAAGTAACACGACTAGTTGTTGACATTGGCTAAGAATTCTATGAAATCATTCCTTGCATCTGGATCAGTCTTCTTGAAGAAAGTCATAGTCTTCTTATCCTTGCAGATCTGTAGGATAGTGTACTAGAGCCTTGTATTATGTGGTTGAACACCACAGTCCCTTGCCATTTGCTGCACAAGATCAACTTCAGCTTTCTCTTCCTTTCTCTTTTCTTCCCTGTTCCTTCTCTTCATTATGGCCTTCATTTTAGCTTGCCTTTCTTGAAGTTCAACCTGTCTTTCCATCATCTTGTTCCTGTCCTCACCAATCCTGGTTTGCTCAGTGATCACCTTATCCATGAGCTTGATTGCTTGGCTTTTGGACTTGGTCTTCTTGTTTGGACTGGAAGCACATGTACTGGTACTACTAGCTCTCTTGTTGCTGTTAGAGCTGATTGGGGTATGAACATTCATAGATGGCTCCTCCTCATAATATTCCTCCTCCTCAAATTCTTCATTTGAACCAGGAACATAGGCTGTGGAACCATCAACTGCTACACCTTCAAACATTTGCTCCAACTGGACCAAGTATTCTGGCCATCCATCTTTTAATTTCTTCCATTCATTCTTACCCTGCAGCACTTGGTAGTATGAGAAGAGAACATCATTGACAGTGTAGTAAGAACATAGAAGATATGAGCATGAACCTTAGTCTTTGACTCCCACCAATCATCATCTGTAATCACAGTGCCATCAGAGTTACGGCCTAGTCCTGTGTCAGTCTTCAGTTGCTTGATGAAACCCCACAGAGCCCTCGAGTTGCTGTACCTCTTTGGAGATCTGTTTCTCCGTCAGGCATCTTACCAAAGAGCTGCATGGTACCGCCTAATGACCTCCTTCATTCTGTTTTTGGTCATTGTACCTTTCGTTAAATTACCAATGTCAATCTGTTACACCAGATACTACATAGCTTATCGGTGTTCTCCTCGACCAATTAGCCCTACTTTTACCAAGCTAAAACATACACAAGAATAGGAAACTATATAAATAACAATATCAAAAGTAATCTTTGTAACAAGCAAATGAATTGACATATATAATACACAAACATTCATTTAGTTCATAACTATGATGCTAGTTGTCCTTCACAAAGCAGAGAACATTCATTCAGTTCATAAATATGATGCAAACAGGCCAAACATGATCTCTAAGATCCCAAGTAATTGACCATTTTAAAGCACATGGTGCTAAGAATATAAAATGGTAAATGAACTGAACTAAACTAAGTAGGACTAGGACTGAACTCGAATATAAAATGCATAATCAAGATGTTGAGCAACCGATCGGTGGATTTATTGCTAAAGAATTCAAAATAAAAAGATGCTAGTTCGAAACAAACGGAAGAGAAACCTTATTACACTTATCTTGGAAGCAGATTAAGTCCCTAAAACTCCAGTAGATACTAAGATATTCATATATCATCTCTATGCTACTACTAATATCATCTTTAGGCGAAAGTGCACAACATAAAGAAAGGTAATCTCACAAAAGGTAAAGCCATACTCTATAGGCAAGCAAGTTTATACTTTACATATGACTGAAATTGACAAAGTGGCAAAAGTTTGCTAGGCATGTGAAACTATAAAAGGTATATAGATCCTGTGTTGCCACTAGCTACTTTTCAATTTCCCATTTATCATTTCCAACCTCTTGACCAAAGGTACACTCCGAAACTACTACTAATCTTGTAATTCTAAAGATTTTGTATCAATCAAGAAATGAATCTGAATCGAATATGAACTAGCACACTAGATCAATTGGTAGGGAAAATATCATGGGAGCGTTGGGTAGGATCTCAACGTTGTCGACGTCGTTCGAGGTGTTGGAAGCGAAGTTGTCATCGGCGACGGCTGGCACTCGAGGACGTTTGCCGTGGGCTGTCGAGGGTTGTGCCACGCCGGAGGTCCCTCGACGCATGCCGCGACCAACAGCGGGGATAGGAGGCACACCACCACCAACATGTCCATCGCAGGAGACCGTAGAGGTAGCGCGACCGGACCCAGCTCCACCTCCAAAGATCTGCTAACTGAGGAGCCCGGAAGCCTAGGGTTCGGCTTGCCATTGCTGCAAGGCGTCAACAGAGGGGAGACATTGGGGCCATCGAGATCTCCACCGAGAGAAGGCCCTCGAAGCCTCCCATGGGCGGCCATTCGGCGCCCTGCGAGTTGAGTCAAGAGCCGCCATGCCCGTCCCCGGGAGAAGCGGCTACTGGAACCCGGGCGTTGAAGGCCGGTCGATTGTAGCGCGGATATCCGACATTGGAGGGGTGTGGCTAGGGCAGAACTCCCCGGTGCCGCTCAACGTTGTT